GCATTGTTGAGTCTCGCGGTTTAGTCAGAACATACTGGTTGTTCTGCGAGTCAATGAGCATGCTCAGTCCCAGGTCATCCTCCACTTCCTTTTGCCTGGACTTGTTCTTCCTCTTGCTTCCATTCTCTTCGTCGTCTTCCACTCTCAGCACGGCCTCTACGTTCACTCCTTTCATCTACACAGCACACAGCACGGAAGGAGCTACAATCACTATCATCTTCAGTTTTTGAGTAACCAAAATATGTGACAGTGACTGTCTGCAGACCTGCTTGTTGTTGTCAAAGGCGTGCTCTTCGATCTCCTCCTCAAGTCGGTCGGCTGCCTTCCTGACATCCTCCAGGATCTCATCCAGGATGGACAGAGTCTTGTTCTGGGCCAAAGCGCTTTTAACAGCTTCCTGCTGATGCTTCTCAGCCGCCACCAGCTCCACGTACTCCTGTTCTTCCTGAAGTGAGATAAGAGGGGCCATGCATATGTTAGGAGAGATGAATGTAGGAAATGTGTATTAAAGATTCAGTCTTACATTTTGAGGTCTGTAGGATGATCATATCAACAGTCTCCTATATTCACACAGGACTTATTTGATAATAAATTTACATTTTGGATAGTCTTTTTGGAAGTTTCCATTTCTGCTACAGGTCTCTTCCTGTTAAAAGATAGTTTTTTCTTTCCACTGTCACCAAAGAGCTTGCTCATAGTGGGTCATCTGATTGTTGGGCTTCTGATATTTCCCTGTCCTTTGAAAAACTGAGATACAAATAATGAAACACAGCTGACTTCACCTTTATGGCTGCCTCCCTGAGGGCCTCCAGCCTTTGTCTGCTGCTCTCCTTCATGTTGACCACATCCTTGTAGTCTCCCTGTAGCGCTCTCTGCAGGCTGTGCAACGCCTGGAACACGAGGTGCTCGCTCTCATTCAGCTCCTTCTGCAAAACCTCCAGAGTGTGAACCTTAATGCAGACAAACAGAAACTTGTCAATCGGTAAAATGTCTCTGGGTCATCTTTCACTGAAGCCACCGTGTGCAGTGCAGTTTACAATTCTTCATCGGAGACTGGACATGACAAACAGGACAAAACAGATTGTGATGAAGCAGGTTACAATAGGATGAAGGTGCATTTTATGTGACTCTCGGCACACATCAGAAGAGGCACTTAAACACAATAAAACAACTGAATGCACACTATCCGTATATGCAGAATAAATATGTGCAGAAAGTCACATGTTAAATTTAGATTGATGTCACAGCTCTAGGGAAGAAACTGGCTCTCAGTCTGGTGTTGTGTTTTAGTGAGTTAACCAGAAGGCATTTCATTCAGATCGTTTCAGAGGTAAACTCGAAAAAAAAAACTTTGAAGATTTGAAGAAAGCACATTAAATTTAAATGCGTTTTCAGCTTGGTCTGGTATAAAAGTCTAAAAGTGGTGCTTAGCTATTTCTCCTGTTAGTTGTTTTAATCAAACCAGTCATCTTATCGCTACATGCACAAATCATAGGAAACATGAATTATAAGCATGCACAGTCATTCTGTGCAACAGTCAGAGAGGCAAACAGTTTAGAGACCTAAAGAATTACAGGTTATGCAAAAGTTAAATGTCTCTAACTCTTCAGTGGATAACAATTTGAAAGGAGCTCTTGGCTCCATTAGATTGCTTTTTCTCAGTCTGGTACCTGGAAGTGTTTCTCAGTCTCTGAAAGGCTCCGGTCTTTCCCAACAGCATCGGCAGCAGCCTCCAGCTTCTTGAAAACCACATTTTTCTGACGTAGGAGGCCCACCAGCCGCTTGCAGTTACCAGCCACCCAGCTCTGCCCGTGTGTGGCCCTGTTACTTCGATAGAGCTTGACAGCATGCTGGGCCACCTGGTCTTTGTGGACCACGGCAGATGCCCCTGCCAGGCTGAGGCACAGCAGCCAACATACAGCCTGCATCCAAAGTCCTACTTGTGTCTTCACCAGGGTGTGAGGGGGACTGAAGACGGGTGTGAGGCCTGGATATGGAAAAGGTTGTATAGTATGACAGATTAAGATGGGTTGAGTGTCATTGTTTGGAGAGAAAAAAAATGAATACATTCAGTTTTTAATAATATAGTTTAGAGATTAAGTAAAGTGAAGCTACTTCAGGGAGAGCTAGTGAAAGTGCACACCAAAAGAGTTTAAAACAGAAATCTGCTGATGTTTTATAAAATCCAGTTTAAAAAAAAAAACAGACAATAAACTTCACTGCCCAGCTGAAACTTAAGCTTATTTCAGGTGCTTCATTGGGGTCATCACTTTGGGTGGATCCTAGAAATCTGATTTGCCACAGATATTTATGCTGGATGCACTTCGGGATACCACCCTCCCAGAGATTTATGTCTCCTCCTTCCTGGTTACAAACAGAGGATCTTTCAAATGTTAGGCAAATGTGTTAACCGCTACACTATGGAGACATAACTGTCCCAGAAATGCAATTAGTCTTTCTAGTTTTTTGCCTCTTTACCTTGTATGTAAGTATCTATTTGTGATTTTAAAGATCTAGATTTCCAGTAGGTTTAGTGCTGAGCTACAGACAGAGTGCTTATTAGGAAAATACGGAGAAAGGTACAAAAAAAAAATTGCTTGCGTATTTTTGGGGGGTATTTTTGGACTGCAACATGATCACAGACAAAGAGGAATGCTAGCTATGCCTTTTAAAGCAAAAAGAGTACTTGTCTCAAAATTTACGCTCAATTTATTAGTTACACCTGTTCAACTACTTGTTAATGCAAATATATCTATATATCAGCCAGTCATATGGCAAAAATTCAATGCATTTGTTGACATGGTTGAGACAACTTTCTGGAACTGAAGCTGAGCATCAAAATGGGAAACAAATGTGATTTAAGTAATCCCCTTAAAACCAAACTACCATCTACCCATCTCCCAATGGCTCCTTCCTGTAGGATAACACACCATCTCACAAAGCGCAAATAATCTCAAACTGGTTTCTTGAACATGACAATGAGTTCACTGCACTCAGATGGCCTCCACAGTCACCAGATCTCAATCCGTAGAGCACCTTTGGGATGTGGTGGAACATATGACTCAGATCATGGAGCCATGTGTGATGCTGTCATGTCAATTTGGACCAAAATCCCTCTCCCATGTTTCCAGCACTTTTTTTTTTAATATAAGCCATGAAGAATTAAGGCAGCTCTGAAAGCAAAGTGAGTGGTGTTATGTGAGATACAGTGTGTACTTATGCAACCTGTATATTTACTATTGTTATACCAACAGCCTGTTCAGTCTTTAAGCAGGGTGTGGTGGCAGCTGAACATGAGTTCCGTCTTGCTAGCAGTTCTTATTATTAAGCTTCACCTTAATGTGACTGAATGCTTAACCTGTAAAAATTTCCAGAGCTGCTTCCTCTGCTGCCTTCATCAAATACGCTGCAGTGTATATAGTGAGGAAAAGGACTGTATTTAAAAAAGAAACAACCAAAAAAAACAAAACATCCAGGTTGCTTTACATTTAATCTTTATCCACACCAACACTGAATACATTCAACTCACAGCCAAGGCAGTCTGCACTGTTGTGAGCATGAGTCAAGCTGAGAGATGTTTACTTTCCAAACTCCTCCTATGTCCTTCTTCCTTTGGGCTAGGCTGCAGATGCTCTGCCACTGCAGGTAGAAATCAGTAATACCACTGTTCCGTCTTGAGCTGCTGAAATGGACAAGCACACATACGCACACACAGGTTCTCAGATTTAAGGCATTACAAACTTGACAAAAGCCATGTCACCCTCAGAGAATTTAATGTAAACAAAACCAGAAGTGCAGTTTAAACATTTCCCCTACATTTCCTTTCACTTTACAAACGCTTGATCTATGAAAAAAGACCACGTATACACCATGAAAAACTAACAATGTTAAATGACTATATAACAGGTTATGTATGTTAAAAATAAAACACCAATGCCATTATAAACAGCCTCCGTTCTATTATTATTACTGACACAGTAACATTAAAGGTTAATGTTTTATTTGGTTTCGATAGAGTAGATTTTTTAAAATATAATACATTGCTTTGGATGACAAAGTCTTTGTTGTTGTAGTGATGTAAAAAGAAATACTCAAGTAAAATGAAAATGTTCCTTCCCACAGGTGATCTGCACTAAACTTTGGACTCGTACCTAAAACTTGAAGTTTTACCTTGTCAGGATGTGTATAAAAAACACATAAAAAATGGAGCCCAGACGTGTCAATGTAAAATAAAACGGGGAGGACATTTAGCTATCTTAATAACACACACCGCCAGGTATGAATGACATACCGAGGAAACAGCACGGACAGCCAGTGATATCACCCATTTTCTTCACTGTCCCAAACACAGATTACTCGACTTCTATGAGTGGGTATATCAGCAGAAACAGATGAGTAAAGAAATCACTACCTGCGAAATGTGTGTACTGTCCTGGCTCTCAACTCCACGACTGAAGGAGCAGCAGAAGAAGAAGGAAACAATCGTGCTGTTGTGCCGCACTACCACCACCCCTCCTCTCCTGCCACATAGCTGGAGACAGCGTCGGTGCAGGCGTTCACCGGTTTTTACTTGGCCACCAACTTCATGTTTACTCCGACCTCCGGGCCGTCGGTAGCAGTGTCGGGGCAGGCAGACAGGAAGGGGTAACAATACTTTTTTTCCCAGGTAGGTACAAACGCCCAGTCCCTAAAACAGCTGAGTTAGTTCTAGTGTGGCTAAAGTTGAATAAGCTGTTAGGTAAAGCTAAGTTAGCTTCCAAATTGCCCGGAGCTGTCAGACCAGCTCCAGCCAGCTGAGTCCACACACACACTTGTGACACAGCCGTTAACGCTATCTCAACTTTGCTAACATTAGCAAAGAAATGACAGTCGTGTGTGTCGACAGCGGATCCCCTCCCCATTTACACCAGGCGCAACTAAAACTAAACAACCCCTCCTCTGCTTTCAGAACATATTCCTGTCGATAAAAATTAAAGATCCATCTTCAGATTACTTCCGAAACATCTTTATCAGATTTGATATGGGAGTTGTAGTTCTCAAGTGTTTTGCGTTTTCGACTCGACTCTTGCGTCAAGTGCTTTTACGTTATGGTAGCGCTTCTCCGTTTTTTTCTTTTATTTTTCGGTTATGACACATTTTCACTGTTGTGTAAAGTCGTATTATTTCGGTGAAGCGAGAAAAAATACCGTTAAATTATCTCCACGCCTAGTTCTATGACCCGTCCCCCTCAACAAGGGTTATACTCACGGTGTAGTATCGCAGTAATACACGCGGAGTAATAATGAGACTTTTTAGGCAGTGTCAGAGACGTTGCACAATATTTAAGAATAAAACAAGTATTTTACCGAAGCGGGGATTGTATCTTGAATTTCAGCGGTGCTGAACTACATTACCCACGACTCCAATTGCCGTACAGTAGCCCAGTTCTTTTGCGCATGCGTGCCTGGGGGAAATTGGATCTCAAGTTGGCCAAAACAGCGGGTGATAAAAATGGTAGGTGAGATTAAAAATGAGAAACCGTTAGAGTTGTTTATCCCCGTTTATGAGCTCCTCAGACAGTAACAGCTGTCTCTGACGCTCAGGGGTCACCGCAGTGTGCGGGGTCGGGGTGTCCGCGGCCAAGTGTCGCATCGTCAGAGATGTGTGTGAGGAATGTGAGGGGAGACGGGAGGTCAGTTGTTGATGTTTTTGAGACGGGATGCATGCACTTGCGCCACGTACCTTTGCCTTTATGGGGTAGCTCGTCTGCGATGCTGACCCAGGTGAGGATACCCCGTGAAGGATCCCTCCCCCGTGCCTAGAAGGACCAGGTCGACGAGCTGTGGCCTGCCATAGTGCGTTTGCTGTTTGATCATCGCGTGGGTCAGGTCTGCAAAGACGGGCCACATGATCAAACAGCATATTCGTGGACTAACCGAACCTTGTGGCCGTGCATTTGCAAGTGCTAACATCAGCGCTGTGGCACACCTGGTTTCCAGCCTTTTACTTTTTAATTACATGCAAAGCTTAAAGTAGTGAGAGACCGCACAGCAAGTTTTCTGTGGAGTTTCTAGTGAAAGCCTCAACTTAAAGGGAAGTCTTTGCACTCTAGCGTACTCTAATAGCACTTACCCTGTATGTTTGAATGTTGGTGTGCAGTCTGATGATGCATGGCAGGATTACCAAAGCTGGCGAAGTGGGGGACCTGTCCTCCATTACCCCAGGACTTAGAGGGGTCCAGAATTTGTAATGTTGGTTTGATGAGCATTATTTGAATTTATATGCAGCTTGAAATATTTTAATTACTTGAAAGAAGGGCCTGTGTCTAGGGATGGGTATTGATAAGATTTTCACGATTCCGATTCCATTTTCGATTCTGTTTAACGATTCGATTCTTTATCGATTCTCTTATCGATTCTT